CCCTCATGCAAATTCATCTCAGAACCCAAACTCAAAGCCAAATGGAATTCAAGAAAAGACAAAAGGCCAACAACACATATGAATAAAATAATAAACTATTCCTAGGTAAAAATCAACTAGCAAGAAAGATTTTTAGATTAAGGAAAAGAGAAGGCAAAAGAGAAACCATGGATACAAGTATAAAATGTAAAATAAAAAATGAAGTCTAACACCCCCCACCCCCGCTCTGTCCTGAGATACTTAGAACCATTGTCAGCAAAGATTATATGCTATTTGAGGCTAGTTCACTTTGAAATCTACAAGGAAAATGAAAATATCTAGAATAAGGTAAATTATTCGAATTAAGAGAAAATTTGAATACACAAAAAACTCTGGACCAAAAGACAGAAAATCTAGGAACTACTTCTAAATCTCACTACTTAGAAAACTTAAGAACTACTAAATATAACCATTTAAAAGATCTAAGAACTACTTCTGGGTCCCTATGATGCTAATATGCAACACTTTCAAGCAATTGATCATTGAGATTATGTTTAAATGCTTCCAACACATAGACAAATAGGAAAAGGTAAGTATAACCTAGTTTGGCTTATGATGAGTTGACTTGGGAAATTTTTTGACTTTGCCAATATGCTAAAGTGATAAGCTTTTAAATCTGAAGCTTCAGTTTTGATCTGTAGGCTGGCGATAGGAATTATGACCCTCTCTTGTAATGCTGAGCAGAGCAAGCAGCAAGCCAGGCTCCAACCAGAGGAAATAATGAATGTTTGACATTGCTGTGTCATTGGGCAAAGGATATTTGGTAGGTGGGTATAAAACATGCATTTTCATCTTATAACTTTTCCAGTTTATGTTTGGGCTACCAAAACATAACTATAATTTGTCAAGGAGCATCTTAACATTATCTAAAAAGAACAGAGTAGACTAATATTACCTATGAATATGGTGACAGTCTGCTCTGGGTATTTATCAACACAGATGAGGCCCCTTCCTTGGTATAGAGTTATTGCTGGGGAAGAGCTGCCCATACCAGAGCAGGAGATACTTTCCAGCCCTACCTACAGTTCTCACAGCAGAATGAGTGGAAGTGACGTATTCCTTTCCAAGTTAAGACTGTGTGAGTAGTGGCTGGGCCTTCTCATTCTTCCTTTCTCCTTCTCTGGTTAGATTCATGAAGGAACTGGGGGGCAGGCAAGCAACGGGTCTGCTGCCTGTGTTTCTAAATAAAGCTTTGCTGGAACACAGCCATACCCATTTGTTGACTTGTTGCTATGGTGACTTTCACACTACAAGGGAAGAATTGGGCAGTTGTGACAGATGCTGTCTCAAGAATTTACTATCTAGTCCTTTAAGAAAAAGTGCTGCTCTCCCTCTGGGGGGTGGTGGGGTGACAAGAAGGAAGGAGGCTGCCTGAAGGCCTTGCATGGGAGGAAATGTCTCCCTGGACTCTTCATAGTCCAAAGAGGGTAATTCCAACTAATATCCAGATGGATGCAGAATATCAAATAAGATTTCTTAAAAATAGGGCTGGGAAGGTGGCTCAGTGGTAGAGCGCTTGCCTTGCATGCCTGAGGCCCTGGGTTCGATTCCTCAGCACCACATAAGCAAAATGAAAAAAGCTGGGAGTGGCGCTGTGGCTCAAGTGGTAGAGTGCTAGCCTTGAGCTGAAGAGCTGAGGGACAGTGCCCAGGCCCAGAGTTCAGGCCCCATGACCGGACCCAAAAAAAAAAAAAAAGATTTCTTAAAAATACTTCATGAAGCCGAGTGCTGGTGGCTCATGCCTGTAATCCTGGTGACTCAGGAGGCTGAGATCTGAGGAGTGTGATTCAAAGCCAGCCCTTGCAGGAGACTCTTATCTCCAATGAACCACCAGAAAACCAGAAGTGGCACTGTGGCTCAAAGTGGTAGAGCCTTGAGCTGAAGAGCTGAGGGATAGCACCCAGGCCCAGAGTTCAAGGCCCCCCCCATGGACCAAAACAAATAATCAAACAAACAAGCTTCATGAGAGCCATATTTTCACAAAGTTAAGGATGATTGGGAAAGGTGGTAACACACAGAAGGAGATTCACACCATCACCTTTTCAAGCATTTAAATAAGAGCATCCAGCTAGTAAACTGTTCCTAGAAAGCGGACAGAAAAACACTTCCATAGAACATCTCTATATCAAAAGCTCATACTGTATATGGGAGTGAATGACTATTGACATTTCCACTTAAAAGAGGAAAAAAGATGAAAATATATCAACAACTTAACAAAAAGTGATATGTGATATATCACTGTTTTTTTTGGTTTTAATTTGACACAGGGTCTGGCTATGAAGCCCAGACTAGTATCGTATCTTCCTTGTGCTTTTGAATTGTCAATAGGTCAATAATAGCATTCAGCTATGCAATATAAACATGACGATCAAATTAAATTATATGAACATCTCACTTATTGCATATATAGACATTATATGTGTATTATATATCACTTAACTAATTTTATATATAAAGCAAGAATTTATGTGTGATATAGATGTTTTATATTTCCATATATTATGAATACCTAATATATGATAAAATATACCAGTTCATATATTTGTGTATATAGTTTTATATTCATTTATAAATAAAATATATGAAAAATATATTATATGTTTATGTATTATTATTTGTTGTTTTGTTGCTGAACATGGGGCCTGAACTCTGGGCCCAGGCACTGTCCCTCAGCTCTTCAGCTCAAGGCTAGTACTCTAACCACTTGAGCCACAGTGCCACTTTTGGTTTTCTGGTGGTTTAGTGAAGATGAGTCTCACAGACTTTTCTGCCCACGCTGGCTTTGAACCATGATCCTCAGATCTCAGCCTCCTGAGTAGCTAGGATTTATAGGTATGAGCCACCAGTGCCCGGCTAATATTATTAATTTTTATATATGCTTTTGATTTATAAATCTATGATTTTAATATACCTAGACACTTTAAGATAAATTTTAAAAGTTATTGGAAGTATTGAAGAAGTCTTTAAAGATGACCAGTTATAAAATGATATGCAAAATTACAAGGTTTTAACCATGACAACAACAATCCACATGGATTGCTTAAACTAACAAAAATTTCATCAAAGAAAATTAAAGAACATTTAAATAAATGGAGAGCTGCATTTTATTTCTGATATGAACAGTATATTTTAATCATAAAGTAACCTATAAATTCATTGCAGTCTTACACATGAGTCTAACAGGATTTAAGTCTGCATTTGAAAACCTGACTCTAATTTTCCTCTTAATATACTTTTGAAAGCAGCCAAGAAATGTTAGAGGGGAAAAACCTACACTACTATAAAGAAGTTTTTGATGGCAGATATTGACATAAAATATAAAATGTATCAGAAAATTATGGAAAGATAAAATTAGACCTATCTCCTAAACCAAGCTCTTCAATAATTTCAGAGGTACCCCAGATTTAAATACAAAAATGAGTTACTCATTTATCACTGTTAGAAGATTGTCTAGGTAAACAAACTGTATGCTTGATGTAGATATTCTCAATATGGACAAATTCCGAAACTACTAGAGAAAAGATAGAATTAAAATTGTAATGGGTAAAAATTATTACACACAAAATCAACAATACCAAAAGGAAAAAGGTGAACTGGTAAAAGGATGGGCACTCTGTGTGGCAGATGATAGCTTTCTTTTTCCTGCATAAATAGCATTTACATAGCAGTAAAAAAAAAAAAAAAGGAACAAGGCCAGCAGGAAAAAAAGAGAAAAAGCTACTGATTGCCAACGACCTGAAATTCCTGAAAAAATGTGAACTTACTATAAACCAAAGAGTTTAAGTTTGAAAAGGTATTTTCCTATCATAACAAAATAAATAATATGTTTACAAGCATTGAGTAGAAGGATTTTTGATGACAGATGTCTGATGGAGATTTTTTTTTCCCATCTGACATTGTACTGGAATAACAATGGGATAATTCAGTTGAGTACTCTAGGTCAAGTTCAAGGGTACAAGATATCCAGCATGCAGAAGAGAGAGAATCATAGTGAGACATTTATATGGGCTCTGACAGCTAATTACTGACTCTCCTAGAGTGCACATGATCTTGTTTATAGGCTTTAAGGGCAAGTTCATAAAGCTTCAGAGTGAGTGAATAAGAGCTATATTTTAAAAACACAGGTCAACCTGATAAGAAAATTCTTAACAAACTTAGTTTTGAAACAAAGCATCCTTACCCATTCCTTCTGATACTGTGTCAAAATATTTAAATATCATATTGCCCAATCATACGTGTTGTTAGATCTCCCAGCAGCCTGTGGGCCTTGTTGGAAGCAAGTCAGTTTACCTAAGGGAATTTAAAGCTCCCCTTGGTCCCTTCCACCCCTATTTTTTCAAGTACCACCTCAAACCCTCCATGAAGGAATTCAATACATGCGGACAACCGGTGTCCTCTTAGAGGAGACCACAAAATGAACACAGTGCATGACAGAATGATTGTGTTTGCCTTCTCTTTCACCCCATGAAGTACATGGCACTATCAGAGAGTTTTCACAGGCATCCTATAACAGAAGCCTTCTTCCCAAAGGCCTGTTCTCTCTACCTGGTGAGGTGAGGTCTGAGTCCCACTATACAACAGCTGGTCTATGCTTGGAGTCCAGTGCTTTTTCCAATATACTGGTCCATCCCTATTTTCAAAAGGAAGCTGAAGAATGTGGACCATCATTGCTAAAGTGGTGACGCCATAGAGGAAGGATGCTTTGATGATTATTCCTAGTAGAGCTTTTCAGCCTAGGAGCAAACTTGCCCTGCATTGACCTGGCATTGAAATGGATGTAGATGAAGTTCTTCCTCACCCCAGCACCTCTGGCTTGGGAGGTGGAGGAGCAAGTCATGAAGGCATGGCTCTGGTCTAGTGATTGGCCCTCCTCCCCGTCCTAACAAAGTCCTTGATGCATCAGCCTCTGCTGCCCTGGGGGCTCTTGATCACCCAGGACAGGTGTACTATGTTCTAACTACCTTTGATGGCTTGCTTCACAGTGGAATCCACAGGGAGGATGTTCTTTTCCACCAGTTCCAGAGGCCCTGGTCTGAGAGCAATCTTCTCATTGAGATCGTCTGTGAGGCGGGCTCGTTTCAGCTTCATCTGAGCAGTTGTTGGGATGGATCTTTCTGCAGCGGAGGCTGATGGGTTGAAAGGCAAAAGGATCCGATTTTAGAATCTGTGATCTTCTTTATTTTATTTATATATATATATATATTTTTTTTCTTTTCCATTTGCGTTTGTGTTTTTGGCTTGGTGGTGGTTACTAAACATTGTGTCACCTCGGGCTCTACTGTCCTGATAATTTTTCATTGTCATCATCATCATGTTTTACAGAGATTAGCACCAAGACTAGACACTTCCAAATAAAGGCAAACTGAGAGGCACATGGAAAAGTCAGAGAAACTAGCTTTGCGAGGATTTGCTTGAAAACAAATCTCATGCAAGTTGGCAGTAATTAAGCAGCCCCTGAAGTTTGTGATGTTTGCCTGAACCTAAACTCCCAGGACTTCCATACTGACAGGTAAGGGAGATATTTATGGTAAATGTCATCATGTTGGTAGTAATTAGTGCTAGTAGCAAATGTCTAACTTTTTAGAGGGTTTAGATTGATCAATGTTATGACATGGCCTGAGAGTCAAATGTCCATGTCAGTCAAAAAAGAACCCAAATTATTTTGAAATGGTTGTTTAATTAAACAGAGGGAGTTTACCAAGTTGCATATATCCAATAAGAAGGTCATCATCATTTGGAGCGGGTGAGAAGGGCCAGCTCCTGAGCTTTAAATCTACCTCTAGGTGGCCAACACAAAACTTTCTCTGAAGAGAGTGAGTCTCAACTCACTGATTTCTGTGGCAGAACATGGATGAGTACCTGGCTAAAGTATTTCTCTGATAAACAAATATAAGTGAAGATTCTGGAAGAACCTGGCACTGGTGGCTCACACCAGTAATCCTAGTGACTCAACAGGCTGAGATCTGATGATTGAGATTTAAAGCCAGCCGGAGTAAGAAATTCTGTGAGACTCCATTTCCAATTAACCAGCAAACTGCCAGAATGGAGGAGAGGCTCATGTTGTAGAGTGCCAACCATGAATAAATAAAAAAAAGGGGAGCATCAGGCCCTGACCTCAAGCCCTGGCACGTGCACACACACACACACACACACACACACACACACACACACACACATACAGACACACACACACGGAGTCTGAGTATGTATGTAGCTCTGTTCTTGATGTGTAGCTTTGTTCTCAATGTGTCACATTTAGGTGATGGGTACAAATAGACATATCTCCCAGATCCTCATGATTAAACTACTAATCTCACCCTTGTATCAGGGGGTGGATCTCACATTCTCCATGCCTAAGGGTATCTAAAGGGCCATAACATGTGTGCTTGTCTAGAAGAAGTTATCCACCTGAGATAGATAGAAGAAACATCAGTGTTCCAAACAAAAGAAAAGGTCCCTAGGGCTTACTCTTCCCCAACCCTCTGCTTGGAGGTCATCCCAAGGGCTCCTTGTGATGGCATCAGGGTTTTCTGATCCATTGCACATACAACCCATCACCAATCTTCAGAAAGTCCTTTCTTGATGCATCCACCCCATCCCCACAAAGGTCCTCTCAATCTACCCATCTCAATCTACATTTCTAAGAATGTCACATGCTGAATTAATCTTCCCAAGGACCTGTAGCTCCCCATCCCAAAGCTAGTACCCCAGTGATGTTGGTCTTGGCATTTCTGTCCCCCAGGTGAATTCACCTTCAGTATTATTTTTCTTGCTTTGTTTCCACAGCCTGGAATGCTTCTCACCTACCCCTCACCATGAACATCTCTTTCTCTCCCAGGTCCTGGTGGAAATCCATCCTGGCTTTCCTTTCCTTACAGGCTTCCTTTGCTTTGTCTGGTTGTAGTCACGGTCACTGGCTCCTTCATCTAACATTGCTGCTTCTGATGTACAATGTGAAATTCCTAAAGATAGGGACCATTCTGTATTTATCAAGTCTTTGGTTCTCCAGGAACTGAATCCTTAATTTCTACTGAGGAGAAGCGTGGTTTCTAAGGAAGCCACAGAACATGTGATAGAATCAGGAGCTGCTGATCAGTTCAAGACTTCAGGAGCAATGGCTTGTGCCTATAATCCTAGCTACAAAAGAGCTGTAGGGAGGAGGATTATGGTCCATGGTTGGCCCAGGCAAAAAAGGTTGAAAAAATTTCAGTAATTTGTATCTGTAAAATTACTGAAGCCAAAAGGGCTGAGGGTGTGGCTCAAGTGGTAGAACCTGAGTTCAAACCCCATTACCATCAAGAAGAGAGGGAAGGGGATAAACTCCAGAGCCTTGTGCATCTAGGCAGGCATTCCACCGATAAGCTATATCTCCAGTCCTCTTAGGATTTTTGGATTATAGCATTATTATGTGCTCATTATCATAAATGTGAATGAAGTTTATGATAGCACATGGTAATGCTATAATCCCAAATAAGTATACAAAAAAAAATAAAAGCTTCAAGACATTTTGCACTTAAGGTCAACTACTTTCAAAACTAAAGTTATTTATGTTTATGGCTCTTGATGTGTACTTTTTCTTCCCAGAATCTGCCGGCACATGCAATTTATGTTTACATGTATCTTTTTTTCTTCCTAGAATTTGACTGTAGATATAGTTTTGCTTTCTGCTGTTCTCTCTAGATACCTTGTAAACGTTTGCTTATTGTCATCATTATTCTTAGAAACTTTCTTGGTTAGTGGCTCCATGGCTCATCCCCTATTGTTGGATTCTTGCTATTAAAGTACTTTCCATGAAGCTGGGCACTGGTGGCTCATGCCTGTAATCTAAGCTACTCAGGGCGCTGAGATCTGAGAATCGCAGTTCAAAGCCAGCCTGGGCAGGAAAGTGCATGAGACTCTTATCTCCAAATATCCACCAGAAAACCAAACCGGTACTGTGAGCTCAAAGTGGTAGAGTGCTAGCCTTGAGTAGAAAAGCTCAAGGATAGCTCCTAGGCCCTAAATCCAAGGCCCTACCACCACCACCACCACCACCAACAACAACAAATGATGATTTTCATCCTAGCTTAATCTTTAGATTTTGAATTATTTTCTTTAAATCAAAGATACAAAATTGCATAACAAGACAAAAGGGTAGATAGACTTTCAAAGAATTAGTTACCAAATCACTCTCTAGATACATAAATCAGCAAATCCACCTACCTGTTACATGTATTTCTCAGACCTTTGTCAGATGTAATACATACTTTCATTTGCTAACTCAATCATCGACAAGTTTCCATCTTATTTGAAATGGCATTGCTTAGGTTATTTGTGTGTGTCTGTGCTCATGTAGCGCTGCTTCTGGGATCTGTGAAATAGTATCAAGAATAATGACATCTCTGCCCAACAGCCCTGGGTATTCTTGCTATCTGGTCCAGGTATCAGACTTGTAAGCTATGCAGCCCTTTCCCTGAATGCTATGTTGTCTTCTTTCCCTCTCCTTCCTATTATGGAAACAGTCCCCCATGTTAAAACAAACCCATTTGTTCCAGGGTTGGAAAAACAGGTCAGCTCTGGGAAGCGAGAGTGACAGATGAGATGTTGATCGAAGAACCAAAAGCTCACCGTTTTTATTATTTTTCAGCACCTTCTATACTCCTTACAGCCAGCATGCAGTTTTGTTGGGAAATGGTCATTATGTGGAGAGAAAGAGTGCTGGCTGGTACTAGGTCTGTGAGGCCTTCTCAGCCTGCAGTGCCTTCACTGCTTTCTGTCTACACTCCAGCCTTCACCGTCAACTGCTCTCCTCCTTCCTTCCCCAACCATTCTGATTCAGCTCTCTCTCTCTTCTCTGATCTTTTGTGCATGTGCTACACACAATGCATTCTCTCTCTTCTCAGGCATGACTGTGAATGAATGCTGATTCTCATGTCTGCCTCCTCTATTATTCTGTGAGGGCCCTTGGGGAGTAAGAATCTGTATCTTATCCATGACTAAACCACAAGATCTGTTCTTGTCTCTGTTATGGGCATTCAATATGATATTTGCTCCACGAGTAACTATTTCGTAGGTAAACATCGAAGTAGAAGATGGGCCTCTTTGAAGCTGGGGTTGCTCTCCCAGCGAAGGCAAAACTCATTGAGCAAGCAAGAGGAGACACCCCTCTTGTCAAGTCAGAATACCAGTGGAATGACTTATTTGCCCTGTTTCTTCTCCATTATGGAGGTAGCTCCCTAGGAAAGGTAGAACTGGGCCTGCATTGATCAGCACTGATTTCCAAAGTAAAGTAAATGGCAACCTGGATGAATAATAATTGGCAACAATTGTTGGATGATATTCTTATGTGCTCAGAGAGGTTATGCAATTGCCTTGGCATCAGAAAATGGCGCCACTGAAATTGAAGTCCCAGTCTTGCAACCTTCTTAGCCACTATATAGCTTTCCAAGTGGGTTTTCTTCCAAGATTTAAAATGACTAGATGATAGCTTGGAATTACTTAGTGTAATGACTGGAGAGACTTTGTAAGAGATTTAGCAAATGCTCAATGATGGAGAAGGTAAAACAAGTCAAACATGTCACTCTCCTGGTATTCTGACAAGGAACTCTGGAAAACTCAGCCGGACATTTGATGGATATTTTCTAGTTAGTCGGGGCATGCAGGCTTACCTTGGAGTATGTGCATATTAAGCAAGTGGGCACAGTCGGATCTGTTTCTACCCTTGTGCTTCAGAGAATCTTCAGTCTGTAGAACACAAACATGGAGAATGGCCTAGTTTTAATGTTATAAACAAAAGCCTCAATTTCTCCCCAAAGGAAACATACTCTTTGTATACCATATGGAAAACTGACCTATCCCTCGTCTCCTACATGTTGCTAGAGAAACACAAAAGGATGGGAAAATAAAGGATAGAATGGATACATGTAAAGCCAGGACCAAACAGACTCATGTTAATAGTAGTCAGTTGGGATACTGAGCTGTTTGACTTATGATCAACCCTATTCTGTCACCTCTTAAAAATAACCCAGGTCAAGGATAACACATGGTTTAAATCTACCTGTTGGAACATGGTAACATAGGGCCCACTCCTGTGAGCTGTCTGCAGTCTCCCTTAGGACATGGGAAAATGTAAAACCTGTATACTTTGTAAAGCATCTAGAAACAGATTATTCACTGGAGCTGTTTGGAGGGATAATGTAAGACCAAAGCAGATCCCTGATCCCTGGTTTTTTATTTCTAGGCTTTTAAAACATCTCATTGTGTTTCATGGCCTATGGGTTTCTGAGAAGGAGCTGGGGAGCTGGGGGAGTAGGTGGGGTCTCCCTAGGCCTGATGGAAGACTGTCATTCTTTTTCTTTTCCAGGTAATAGGAATCACAGCCCTCCAGGAGCAGCTTTGAAGAGCCTTAGCATCCTGTCCTCCTTGTCTTATCACAGTTGCAAGGGTACAAGTCCTCGGCAGAGAAATTCTAATATGTGGACGCCTCATGAGCCTTCTCTTCCACTCCAAGTGCTAATAGTTCCTAACTAGCATTTGTATTCTTGATAAATGCAAGTTTCAGAGATTTACAGAATGCTGCAGGATAAACTGATTGTCCTCTTCAAATGCCACACATGAAGAAACAAAACTCCAAAGAAACAAAACAAAACAAAACCCCATACCCCAAACAAACCCTTTTCTAATATCCCCTCAAAGGAAACTTAAACACAATTCCTATTGCCTTTAAGTAACTAGTAAATAATGTCCCCATGGGTCTTGCCTTCCCATGGAATCTCATTGAAGAAAATCTGCCTAGAGGAGACTGTAATAAAAGATAAGGCATCTTGCTAACTACCCTTACTTCCATTTTAAAAGTCCTCCTGACCTCTTATGCATCCTTGCTATGATTTTTCTCCCCAACATCAGGAAGGTTGAGAATATATATATATATTAAATATATTGAGAATATATATTTATATATACATGTATGTGTGTGTGTGTGTGTGTGTGTGTGTATGTACTCAACAACAGTAACTTCAACATTGAGGTAGTTGATTCCACAGTGAAGGAATTGCTTATAGGAATTCTTGTGTTTTGGCTAACATCAAGCATTCAGAGATCTACAACTGAATTGTTCCAGATCAGGAAAGACCATTTTCCACATTACCTTGTCACTATCCAACTTTTTTCTTTGCTCATGGAATTCAGTTGGGCTTTTCAGTGCTGTAACAGAAAGATAAAGATGTAAGAGACTGGCCTCAGGGTGTTGGTCAGTGTGGCCAGACTGGCTGAGTGTTTGCTGAGCTATGCACAGTCTGTAAGTGATTGCCTTTATTAGGCCACAAGCAATGAAAGAGAGAAGCTCAGAGGATATGAGATGCCTGGAAGCCAGAGGAGGCAGAGGAAGGTGGAAGTCAAGCCTAAACCAGGAGGAAGCAGCAGAAGCAAAATGCGTGACAGGAGAGAAATGGTGGCGGCAGGGTCATTCCAAGTTCTTGAGAAAACAAGAGGATCCAGAAGTAACACTGATTAAAGGTAGATGGGTAGCTAGCATCCTCTTTGGCTCAGGTTCAAAAGTTGGGGCAATGGTTGAGATCTGAAATGGGTGGGGGCATATTGCAGGAAGGCAAGTACTTTGGAGAAAGAATGTGGGTGGTTGGTCATGTACATGCAACCCAGAGTGTCCAGTGGGGGAAAAAAAACCCAACAATACAGAATTGTACTTGGAGGATTGGAAGGGACCTTGGGGATGGTGAAGTTCAATTCCAAGTTCAAATCTGACCTTAAACAGAATGGAGAAACTGAAATCTATAGAAATGGATTGTCTTCTTCAGGGTCATACAGTTAGGACTTGCAGTTTAGGTCCTTTGATACCTGATACTGTTCAAAATATGATAGTTGATTATGAACATCCGTAGACAGGCACCAGGAGACTGTGTATACAACAGCAGCCTAGATCATCGGACTTGATGCCATCTCTGTGTTTTTCTCTACAGAGTCCCATCTCTCTTTCACAGTGTTTCTTCATTAGGAGAACTCGGTAAACCTATTCCATGTGAAATGCAGTTCAGCAAAATCTCATGGTTTATAGGTTTCCTGCCTCCTACATCCATCTCCATTAGGAGATACAAGTTTTCCCTGTTCATTTGCTAAGCGATGAAGTCATAGGTTGCAGAATTATATTTTTTTATTGTAACTGGGAGAGAATGAGGGAAGGGGTGACACTGCCCCAAAAGAAATGTGCTCTACCTGACTTACATAAGTGTAACTCATCTGCACATCATCTGTACAACAAGAAAACTATTTTTAAAAAAAGAATATGAAGAAACAATTACAAGTCTGGACAATTGATGAATCTCATGACCCCAGAGTTCTATAGTAAGCAAAATACATGTTCACTCTTAAGCTATAGGCAATGAAGTTTTCTTCCAAATGCTGGCTGGTCTAAAAATTAAGTTTCTGGCCAGATCAACTCGTGTGTGTGTGTGTGTGTGTGTGTGTGTGTGTGTGTGTGTGTGTTGCATTCAGTCATTAAGAACAGACTAAATCTGAGCAGTTTGCAGCTTAGCTTGGTGGACATTAAGATGTGGCTGTAGTCATGATGGACATTCAAGTAGGATTCTGCTTGGGGAATTAATAAGGCATACTCCATTAGTCTTCCTACTGTATCTCATCATTGACCATGCTGACCAATGGGACATGTCAAACAGTCCTAGGGACTTGTAAAACAGTTTTAAAGGCTGCCACATTCACAGCACAGTTGACTGGCACAGTTTTTCCTCCTTTTTGACTAGAGATGAAGTGGCTTCCTTTGCTTAAGAAGAACACCTGAATATGTTGCTTGAATAGCACATTGCCCACCGATCTGACATTGCTATTTGCCCTTAAAATGGGTGTGTCTGCCATGCTCATCACTGTAAATACTCTCTATCATCATTATTTCTCCTTTGCTCCATGACTCTAAGTAATGCATGGGTGGCTCATGCATTTTCTTTTTGACTTGGGTCTAGGTACCATAGGAAGGGAATCTATTGAGCAATGTCTTACAAGACTGCTCCTTCTTCTCCAGGAAATCAGATTCCAAAAAGTCTGCTTGAAATCCAATAGCCCCTTGTGAACCTGTGCACTGTGATCCAATAGATCTTCATTTCTGCCCTGTCACCTGGGGTCATTTAATTAGACATTACATATTACTGTGGCTTAATTCCTTAAAAGGCATTGATTTTTAAATTGATCTGTTTACTAAGTGGTTCCAAAGAATAACACATATCTTGTGTCAAGAAGTTTCCCAAAGGGAATTATATGAAATATATCTTGAGATATCTCTTCCATTCCAAACACAATTGGCTTTAATTGGGCTTGGGAATTTATCTAATTTTTTTATGCCTAAGATTGTTTAGGTTTTACTAGCAGAGTTGGTTAAATGGTCTAAGAAACACTGCATTTCATGTCTCTTAGCTTGGTTAAAGTGATGCTTTGTTGTTCCCTGGTGTTAATAATTCTCCTGTGAAATGATTTGCATGATGCAGTTCTCTCACACCAGGAACACAGAAGTCTTCTAGAATCTTCTACCATAGGATGGGATGTTATGTCCATTTAACAAGGTCTTGGGAAGAACCCTAAGGCGGTTTGTATGTTGTTTTTACCACACATGCTTCTCAAGGCTTAAAAGGGTATTGGGACACTGGCTGGAGGTCACACTGTGGAAAACTCCCCTGCAGTGGCCTCAGGGTTGAGGTTTGCTTTCTCTGTGACTCCAGAGAATGTGGGTTTTAGCCATCTACCCTGCAGGCCTGAAGAAACAATAATGGCCCCCAAGCCAGTAGGTTTTTTTGAGGAGCGGGGAGGGATACACAAAGGACCACTTCTGCTGCCAGCCCAGGGAGTATCGAATGGCAACATGTTGTATTTAAAGGACATTGACATTTAAGATGGAGAAGGAATTTGGATTTCTAAATTAAAAAAATAAGTCCTTGTAATTTCAAATAAAAACGCAGTTATAAATCCAGGCCGCCACACATCTGCCTCGCTTCCCCCTGGAGGAAGATTAATGGCTCCTCACAGGGGAATTCATGTTCTCGCCTCGGCGTTTAGTTGTGGGCTATTCCTATTTCTGTCCCATAGCTCCAGTTAATTTGGGTCAGCTGTGTGTATAAACATTTGCTTACTTAGAGCTCAGAGAACTCTTCTGAGATAAGGCTGGACCTCCTGCAGTCTTCACTCTGCTTCCTAGGGGATCATGGGTAAGGGTGAAAGTAGGTTGTGGGCACACTGAGAACTAATTCAAGCGCAGGCCTGACTCTTCTGCACAGGTAGGGTGCAGTGCTGGGCTGCAGCTCTGTCAGCAGAGGTAGGGCTACAGGGCATGAGTACCCTCAAGGGGACCCCTTACGGCCAGGCTTTGAGAGAGGATCTGGTTCTGTTGGCCAAGAGTCACAATCAAAGAGCCAGAAACCTCAGCAGAAGAACCGCTGTGGTTCTCAAAGCATGGCTCCAAGGCCAGCATTCTCAGTGTAATTTGGAGCTCCATTGCACAGAACTGCAGTAGCATCAGAAGCTCTGGAGATAGGGCATTGGGATTTGTGTTTGAACAAGCCCTCCAGGTGACTTTGGTGCCCAAGTTTAAGAACCGTAGCAGTGGTATTTACAAGGCCAGTGGGTTCTGGTTTAAAATCCCTGAGAATCTATGAGTTCAAAGAGCAGCAGTGAAACACTGGGATTGATTTCCAGTATTTCTGACAGGGTATGTCTGTCCAGAGAAAAGATGGTAAGCATAGCAACACTCATTTTTCACTTCAACTGTATAGAACCATAGTGACTTAGAATTGCATAACCTAATGTAAAAAGGCATTGTCTGGTAACTATAGATGCCATTCATGAACTCAAGACAGACATACAGATTAACAATTCATGTGGGTGGGGTTCTTTGGGGGAAAAGACAATATTGCTTCAGACATAAATCTGTGGCAGTGGTGGACCAGATTAAAGAGGAATGAGATGACTCACAGTAGAGGATCCATCTACAACTATTGATTCCCTTGTTTTGTGGTCTAATTTTAGTGCAACCTGGAACTAGTCCGATGTTTCCTTTGCACCTTGTCTCTCACCTATAAAATGAGCTATATACCAGTAATGATATTTTGGAAATTATATTTTCTTTGTAGATTGGTAATAAATTGCTTAGTTGGTATCTAATTATATTGTCTTAAGGATTTGAGAACAGTTCATCCCCCCCCCCCAAATGTAGGCTGTATTCGTTTAGATCTAGTTTGTACACTTACAGAATTTTGTATATCTTGGGATTTCTCTGAAAATTAATAAAGGTAGAAAGACAAGTTCAAATTGTACTTGAATAACTGGGTGCTTCAGTTTGTTTGCTTTTTGTTTTGTCCAGTCTCACAGGAATGGAAACTGAAAATTGAAGGAGAGATGGGAGGAAAGAAGGGGACTTAGCTTTTGACCCATATGGACTTGATAAGAAAATCCAAGATGCCTTTCCCTATCTCAGAGGCTCAGCTGTTAGAAAGAAGGGAAGAGGCAGACAGATCAATCCTCTGGTGCTGTGTTCTGCTCAGACAGCCAACAGTGTGTGGTAAGGTGGGTGCTGTAGAGAGAAGCCAAGTCATAGGAATTGCACCGAGGAAAGGAAGAGAGACTTTGTCCAGTCAACTTCTCGAGCTATGGTGAAGCTGCATAGGGGTGGGGTGTGCGGGAATGGCCCGGTCATTCTTCTTGCTATTCAGAAGTGCCACAGAGTTCAGGGATTTACCAAGGCTCTGCAGTATATATGTGGCTGCGGTAGTTTGGATTAGTCTGCAAAAAAAATAAAGGCAGTACCATTCATAGACAGCTCATTGTATCCTGAAATTCATTTACATTGATTATGGGCTCAACAGAGCTAGAGATTCCATTCTGGCCACTGGCAACTTTCTCTGAGACTTTGTGGCCAAGTAGCAGCCTGTCCGCACTCTAGCTCCTCTACAACACCAATTTAATTCTTTTCCTCCTTTGTATTCCAGGGAAAAGGGGAAAATTCCTTCCATTTGCCCCTGGAATTCCATTTTCTTGACTGTCTTCAGTAATAGAGGAGAGAAATTATGCTTTCTTCTTCTCTCCTAATATTCTTATGTAGGGAGCTCAATGTACCCCCAAATTATTAACAGAACAGCTAAATGCGGGTGACTGGGGACTCATTCTAGATTGTAAGCCCTTTGAGAAAGATCATGCCGGATTCTACTGTAAGTGTTCCCCAAAACCTTGCTCCAAAAAAGATGGCTGATATACACCACATTACTCTGTGGCCATTTTAATATCTAAGCCACATAAGGATGATTATCTAAGTCTTCCAAAATAGTTGGCATAAAATGATACCATGTAGTGCCCAAGGAAGAGAATAGAAATAAGAAAGCATACATAACAAAACAATGACTAGACCCAAGTGCTAGTGTGGTCTACAAGTGGGGGGGTCAGATGGGCCCTGTAGTCATAAAAGAACCAGGTCTTCATGGCCTTGCAGCCTTAAGCCTGAAAAGGAGAAATAGTGAAGGCCATTTCTTTAACTTGTAGTCATGGTGGCAAACTAGGCAATAGGATATCTCCATTTTGAGAATTAGATATGGGTTTTTGTTTATTTATTTTTGTGCCCATAGTGGGGTTTGTACTTAGGGCTTTTGAGCTCCCACTTGGCCCTTTTTGATTAAGGCTGGTACCCAACCTCTTGAGCCATACTTCCACTTTTTTTCCCTGAATAATTGGAGATAAGAGTCTTATAGGCTTTTTGGGCCAGGCTGACTTGGAACCACGATCTTCAGGTCTCAACCTCAAGAGTGTTTTGGGATATAGGCATGAGGTACCAGTACTTCAGGCTTTAGGTAGGGGGGTGGGTGTTCAGAGACAGGTACAAATACTAATTTTTAACTTTGAGACTCTTGAACTTTGAGAAGAGATTTCACCAACATTTCATGACTGGCAGGTTGGAAAGGTGAATTTCAGAACTAATATTATAAACGTGAAAAGAATCTTTAGGATATGACCTGGGCTTATCTACCTGACCCAAGAGCCCCTTTCTCATTTGATATTCTCCCAAGGGTTCTGGCCCTCATACCACAAGCTTTGTGACTTCTAGTCTACAGTTGGTAATGTGGGACAGAGCTTTATCTAGCATTCCATTCCTAACATTGCAAAATTATAAATAAAAACCCTAAAACTTGAGATATACTCCTTGTACTAGTCAGCTGGAAAGCAGGTGTTTCCATTCATTAGTATCAGCAGGAGAGAAATCTGTGGTTTAATCATCAATTCAGAGGGTAACTGAAGTAAAAACCATCAGAGGTATTTCAGTGGGGTTTTTCATTCAAGGCTGGTCGTAGTATAACAAAGCTGATATGTTAATAAGGAAACCATCAATTTTTTTTTGTCATTTGTCTGTCTGTCTGTCTACCTACCTATCCACTTACCTATCATCTGTCTGTCCTTTCAGCTGAATTTTTTGTCACAAAAATGTACGTGTGTTATGTTTCTCCCCCAATGGTTGTCACTGTACTTGATTTTGGTACCCTGCATCTTGTATTTACATTTGTCTAATCTGGGGAGGGGAAGGGGAATAACAAAAGGCTGAAACAAGGACACAGGATGACCCATTGCAACAAGGATACCCACAAGACAGTGTATTGGAAACGAACTTTACAACTTTGGGCTGGGCGGGGGGAGTGGAATAGGGGGAGGAGTGTGGCAGGTGGGGGAGGGAAGGGATAATGGGACAACAGCAGGGAAGGGGTAACAGATTGATAAGTAATGCACTCATTGCCTTACTCATGGAACTGTCTGTAACCCCTCTGTACAGTATCTTTACAATCAAATAAAAATTTAAAAAGTCAAGTGATTCATTTTACATCTGTAGAAAAAGGCAACGTGAGGAATAGGAGACTAAAGTTTTATTTAGCCTCAGCTCTACCACAATAAGAGAGATTTGTATGTTTATACTATGGGCAAGCTCTGAAGATGTAATCTAATATAAAATACAAGATTAATTTTCTTTCTCATTCCTTTCCTCCCTCCTTCCTCCTTTCTTTTCTCTTCTCTTCTTTCTTTCTTTCTCTTCCTTCCTTCCTTTATTTTTATTTATTTATTTATTTTGGTCAGTCATGGGGCTTGAGCTCTTGGCCTGGGCACTGTCCCTCAGCAGTTCAGCTCAAGGTGAGTGCTCTACCGCTTGAGCCACAGCACCACTTCCGGTTTTCTGAGTGGTTAATTGGAAATAAGAGTCTCATGGACTTTCCTGCCTGGGCTGGCTTGGAACCATGATCCTCAGATCTCAGTCTCCTGAGTAGATAGGATTACAGGCATGAGCTACCAGCACCTGGCTTCTTTCTTTCTTTCCTTCTTTCTTTCTTTCTCTCTTTCTTTCTTTCCTTCCTTCCTTCTTTCTTTCTT